GACTTGCACTCAATTCTCTCTTTCATGGGCCCTTTCTCCTTCATCTTCTAAACATGTAGGCAGCAAAAACGACGAAAAGAAGCTGAGAAGAAACGCGGATGCCGAACACTGTTCTTGTGAGCATGGGAAAGCTCCATCTACTGCTCGCTCTGTTACGGTGCCAATGGTGACCACGACACAGACCCTTTCAATCTCGACATCAATTGCAGGAATGGTAACCGCAAGTCTTGAAGAGATACCAACGGGGAATGAAGAAAGATGTAGCTCCCAAGGATTGATCCCAGCATCTACGGCTTATCAGTCACTTGGTCATATTACTAAAACTGAAAAACCCTCCCCTGGATCTGATCGTGCATGCATCATCAAGCTGCTTGACTTCAATTCCACCCCGCGTGGAAAATGTTACTGTTCCGATAATACGACCATTGATTACGTCAACGGAGAGTGTGAAGTCTACTCGTGATAGGGCCTCTCTGAGTGCGGAAGGATCTTACTTAGAACCATGGCTGAGGAGGGCGATGTTTCACCATGAAGAGCATAGCATGTATAGAGAACTTTCATTCTAAAAAAAGAAAAAAAAAAGAAAGAGAAAAATAAAAACGCTCTACGAGTTGAAGCCAGCTCCCATTGAGATGGCGTTTGAGCTAGAATAAAGCGGCCTCACCGGCAGATTCATTTGTGTGACTCGTGATGGTACTGTACTTTCTCATCTAGTCTGGGCGTCGATTCATTCGATGCAAGTGATTGAAATCAAATTGACGTGTGGAATATGAAAGTTGTGTTTTTCAGGCGATCTGATGAAAAAGCAGTATCGATGACTACTGCGACCGTATGTGCTGCTCTGGTAAGGCTTTTTACGTAGGCCTTCTGGGCGGGTGAGTATACTCGCATTCGCTTCTGCTACAACCGTTGAACTTTTGAAAACTCACTCGACGCTTTCAGAGTGGGTTTACTATGTATCATGTCTCATGTCAACTTGTATATACTGTACTGTTTGATGTTAAGTGATGTGCTTATATTGTATTTTCAAAGAGTGACGATGCCAGATGTCGGCGAGAATAAATCCGTTGGTGTAGTCGTCAGCTTCAGAATATCTCCCCAAGCGTTCGAGTTTTTGAGCAAAGCATTTTCGTTCGGAGGAACCCCCACGTCCAAGCTAATCGAGTTCTTTGAAACAAGCAAAGTGCGCGGGTAAAATCGACCTGTTTTTACGTGGCTACAAAGCTACTCCTTTATGCATAAGCGTCGAACAATAAGTAGCCAACAAAATGATTAAAAGATGACGATGATGATGATGCAATTGTATGTAGAGAAGCTCCTGCAAAATGGCCCATGATTATGTCTTTGCGCGCCTTGGAGTTCTATTGCTGAATGTATTGATAAAGGATATTCCATATATCACTGCGGCGCCCCGTCACGGAAGAAACTGGTGATTTCGGGATCATCGGTTGCTTTGTGGTAGATAAACCGTAGTCTCCCGGTGTTTTATGAATAGCTGATTTTGAACGCTAGATCTCATTCAGTGAGATCCATTTGTTTTATCATTCTTGAGCTCTTACCATATCAGCTTCAGTCGGAGCGGGAACTTCGGGATGAGAATGATAGGTGTAAATCCGCCCATTTGGCATCTCCATAATCAACCAGCTCCGGATCGAATAAAGACGCCAAAAATCATTGTGGCGCCGAAGAAGATTGTTTCTGCGTTTTCGCAACTGTTCTTGTTTCACGCGATGCGATTGTGAAGTCATTCTCAATACCGCTAAGCGAGAAGATGTTACAAAGAAAAGCCCAGGTTACGCATGTACGTCTGTAGTAGTGAGTCCACCTTATAAGTCTATTGAAGGGGCCTGTCATGGAGGGGCTTAAGTTGGATACACTGGAAAGACATCATTTCTGGAAAGATATTAATACGAAGTGGTAGTGATCGTGAGGGTGCAGGCCAAATAAATGCTTCTCGTTCAAGATATTTAACAGACATGGGCCTCATGGTTAAAGCCAAATGTCCCTTCAATTTTACACAGAAGCTGAATCGGGGTTACTCAACTACTAAGTAGGCCATGCTCTTTCCACTAGGTGTCGTGGAAACAGGGCTGCTTGGATCTCATTGAAATCGATATCCTCGACACAGATTCTTGAAAATCTTGAACAGGGGATTGGAGAAAATCTAGTTTCCTTTGACAGCAGCTCTCTAGCCACAGAAGTTTGAGGATTCCATTCACCCGGAGTTGACGAGTGGACTGGATCTAGATGAGTTTAATTATGAAACGCGAGGAGTAATATTACAGCTTATTTCCCTATAGTTGAACCCGGCATTGGCTTCCATAATTGAATTCAGAACTTTGAGAACAACGTGCGGGGCTCGATAATCCAGCAAAAGCACAAGGATCCGGGCCACGCCCCATAATTTCTCCTAATGAAGTATAGTCAATTTTATTTTCGGCCTAGTTTTAGTGTCCCAGACAAATTGTCTGTGTGAAAGATGGAAGCCAAGTTCGAATTCTTCTGTACAGTAGAGCAAATCCATAGCGCTAGCTGAATGGAAAATTGGCGAAAAGAGAAGAAAACTTTTCCATATGAAAAATTCGAACAAACCTGAGGCTTTACGGTGTCTTGTTTCTTTGATCATTTGCTGCAACCCTAACAGCGGGGACTGCGAAGAGGACATCCAAATCAGACAGATGCTTCATACAGACGAGTACGAAGTTTGCTCCTACCCCGCATAAATATAAACTGCCTCAGGCCCAGTCTAGGCTAATATCATATTTGACAATGATTCACGGGACAATGGTGTTCCCCGAACTCCCGTCTCTTCCATTGGACAGCCTACATTGTCTTTTTTGTAAGTGTGCAAAGACAAAGATGTTCTTAAGATTAATTGATGGCCTTTACACAGCAGACATGAATAATCGCTCCTCTAATTTGAAGCTTGAAACCTTTTATGAATTGTTGTTTGAGAAACCACTGATACGGAACTTTGGCTTTTAAGAAATGTATGCGGGCCGCGACGTAAACGTGGATATTTGTCCTCCACCCCAAGCCGAGCGCAAAGGCTTTGGCACATGGATTCAGAACTACATACCTCATGAGATAATGAGCACCAGTTTCACAGTCAACCACGCTGATTAGAATGGGAGGTAGTCAAATTTAAAGCACAGGATCACAAGAACAAGAGCCGGAGAACAGACGATCAGATATTCATCAAGTGAGACCGGGCTCGGACAGTTGAATATCTCTATTTTGTGTGGTAGTGTTGCCGAGCTCTCCGATGCTGCCCCCAATGAGATCGAACTAGCAATCTCTGTTAAACATGGATTGTGGAACGAGACACTCGAAATGTACACCACGAACCTCTCTTTTCAGCTGGAAATAATATCTTTTCTTGCGTGTCTTTAACCTCCTAGTTAATGAATGTTAGACATGCCAAGGGAATATTATAGGCCACTGCTGTTGAAGGTCTTACCTTACGTGGGGGCTGAAACGGAGGATGAATAGCGAAGCCCATTAGCTGAAATTGGTTTAGCATAATTCTCCCGTAAACGAATTTGACGAAGCTCACAGTAGTAGTACAGAGTATCATCATCAAAACAAAAATTGACAAAATCATCTTCATCACCAAGGTCTCATCAATTCAAGAAGCAGGGCCCAGCTCAGATTATCGCAACGCTTGGCTGGATCAAAGTAATTGTATATATAAATTGTCTTTTGGGGGTATCCCTTTTATCTGCCGAAGACAGCAAAGATTTAAACTCCCTGGGGTTAAACTTAGCCTGCTGAACGGTCAAATCTGTATTTTGAATATAGATGGCCAGCAAAGGAGGTGACATATGACTATGAGGTGTATCCAACCTTAGAGGCCATTAAAGAGAGGGTTGTCCCGGCGGGGAACCCAAAGCGAACCATCCGAAAACTGTAAAGTAGCCTCGCAAAATTTGTGCCGAGGCAAAGGACGATTGGCAATAAATAGACGAGACAGGCGCGCCTTCGAACACCCTTTACGTATGGCAGATTACATTTCTTGTGTCTTCGTATGTCTCTTTCGCAACCAAAGATGTCTGTCAAAATCACGCGCGACGACGAATCTTCTTGCAGTGGAATAACCTTAACTTCCCGCGAGTCACCCTTACAAGACACCTCGCTGTCAGAGCTTGACTCGGAGTATGTTCCGTCCGAGACGAGCGAGGACCAACGATTTGTTATTGACGACACCGATAAACTCTCATATTACTCCGATGACGTTTTTGAAGTAGCAGATCTTCTTGATAACGATACACGTATGATGGACTGTATCATTGATGATAGCCCTGAGGTGAGTACAGATCTCTCTAACTAAGCCAAGCTCTGACACATGCTCTAGTCTCTCGAGAGTGGCGAAAAAGTACCTATTAAAACGGTTGCGAAGCGAACGGTGTATCAAAACGGACAAGTGCAGACCCAGTATTTGGTGCTTTGGACATCATGGGAGGTGGCTGAAGAGTTGCGAGAGTGGAGTTGAGGCGGGAGATGGCTTTTATATTCCGAAAAGTGTTGGAAGGTACCGCAGAAGAAAGAACGATCTTGATTGACCTATACAGCATGACAGAAGGCTATTATGAAGTTGAACCATCATGCGTGCTTTTAAATGATATAGCCCCGGCCTAAAGGCCTCCATGGATGAAATGAAGATATCCTCAGCGATCACCAACCCACAAGCTAGCGAGAAGAGGCTCAGATTGTAGACCTGCAGCTGAGTAGAGCGGGCACATCAATCCCAAAAAAGATGAAAATGAAATTCCGATATATATATGTATATGAAAAACAAAAATCCCTAAGCTAGTTCAAAATCAGTAGAGCATCTATGACTGCAAGATCCTTTCAGACACATAGCCGCCCTTGTCGCAAAGAAGCCGGGGAAATGATTCCCAGCGTAGTAAAAAAGTTGTTTGGCTTATATGGAATGGAGAAATAGGCCGCAGATATGCTGGTAATGCTTCACTAAATATCTTGGAAGCAAATTCGGGAGATTAATGTACTGCGGGATTAGAGCACAAGTCAAGTCTGCATTCATAGACTCAATGACTCCCAGGATCCGAGTAGGGTAGAGACTACAGATAGTACAAAACCGCCAGGTCCACTTTTGCAATACGTCGTCCACTTCGAAAATACAGTTTGGTGGGATCCAACTCCCTGGTGGTGGGAAGAGGTCGACACCCCGAACAACAGCGTCAGGAAACATGTCAGCAACGTCAATGGCCCATGCACCTTGCCCCGTTCCGACGTCAAGCACCCGCTTCGGGTCCGTAACAGGAGCGCAGAACAAAGGGTTCGGTCGGGCGGAATTCATGAGCAAGGCGGCGAAATGTCCCATTTCATACGTCTCAAACTGTTTCTCGTCGGCAGGGCTACTGTAAAGTAGCCAGAGCTTCTTAGGGCTTGATAACATCGGCCATTCTCCATAAACCCTTTGTATAGATTGGAGGCGATCGAGGTAGTCTCGGAGTGCCAGTCTTCAGGCTCATAGGCTCCTGATTCGGGGTGATGCGGGTATGGATCGGCAGCGATGTGGATATCCTCAAAGTTTCCCGCCATCATTGAAGGGCACAGTACCACTACTTACAGTTCTATTTCAAACAGATTTCAGCAGGCAAAGAAAGGTCAACGATTGTGCGGAGAGAGGAACCCATTCTCGGGTTGATGGCTAGCCCCACATACTTTCCTTTTCACTCCCACCGGTCCCGCTGTAATTTGTCGGGGAATGTAGCTGAGAATCCCCGGTGATAATGTAAAGTAGCAGCCAATCATCGTGAGCGTCTGAGGGGTCTCCCACAAACCCGTCCAACCCGAGGCGTGATGACCCGACCCTCGCCCACGATCAACACTCCTTATGTCTGTTATTTGCAAACATCCTATTGAGCCGCTGCTCGTCAGAGTTATGACTAGGACTTTTTTGTTTCTTATCTGATCGCAGTTGCTGTGTTTTTCCAATAGCAAGAACAAACGTATGCTTCTGTTCGCTGACAACTCACTACATTTTCACCCAATTGACGCCCTGGCCTCGCAGGCCGCACCCACAAGCCGCACCTCATATACACACCCTCGGTCAAAGATCCTCGCTTTCATTTCCACGCCATCGCCGCCGGAACTCAACGGAAATGGTTGGGCAAATGGTCGGGATCGAAGAATCGACGACACGGTCGGGCCGAAGGCAAGAGAGGCTTTCTTTAAGGACGGGAGCATCTACACCGGGGTGGGTGGTGGTACAAATTCAAGCATGCGAACGTCTCGGATAGGACAGCGATGTGTGTTGGTCGCAACTGATGAAGATAATACCAAAATGCATGGCAGACGGAGCTGACAGGCCAAGTCTCGCCGGGCTAGTTTGCCCGCCCAAACAAGGTGTCTCTATGCCTTCGAAGATCATCATGCACGCTTGCTCGCACAGTCGAAGCGCAATTGTCGATCAACATATGAGATACAGTACGTCACGTATTCTCCCGGACTTCCGGACTTCCGGACTCCGAGCATGCGCTCGCATCGTGATGATGAGCCCAAAAGACAATTTCGACAGTCAAGCCTAACCAACTCAATCGGCACAATTCTCGTCACCCCAATGATCCCTCGCCGCTACTATAGGACTACAGTCGCAAAAGGTGGTGGGGGACAGCCAGAATACTCAATAAGCTCGCGCTATGGACTTCTTATTTTTCTTCTCACATTGCGAGACTGAGCGCGAACGGGGGCCAAGCGAAACATGTGAAGAGTGGAGTCTTGCGGTACATAGTGCAAAGTAAAAAAGCATAGGCTAATTTGCAGAATACATGGGTCATACATCGGCCTCACAGCAGCAATCGCAATTGTCCACCGGCTGTGGAGATGGCGTCCATCAGGAACACCCGCTATCGTCTGGGATCATGAAGACTAAACTTTCTCGGTCTGGCCAAAAAGCCGCATCGTATTAATCACTGACTCGTCTTCCAGCCCACTCTTCCGTAATCCGTCGTCTCCTCGGCGGCGGAACCGTATCCTCCACCATATTTCGCGCTTCCTTGCGTGATTCAAACGGCGATGACGGCTGCGTGTGTCTGCTTTGATAGAGAAGCGTTGTTCAAGTCGTAGTTAGGGAAAGGCCAATACACGGAGCATCTGCAACCACGATTGACTCGTTCAAAAATCAACTTTGAGCGAACCAGAAGTTTCTGGCCTTACTTCAAACAATTTAACTCATTGGAAAGGCTCCACAAGCCCGCTGCTTCCACCAAAATAACAAACTTCTAAAGGTTCTCGATGATCGTTTATCATGACACAGGTCGAATCAATTTCGAAACACTGGAATGACGTGTTCCGTTCGAGGCCTGTTCAATTACAGCTTAAATGAACTCAAAATAGGTGATCTTGAACGGCACCAGAAACGCTATATCGAACATCACTTTCAGGGTCATCCCCAATATGTCAATGAACTCTAGACTTCAGATTTCAGACCGCACATATTGGAATTGAGATACCAGCTTCAATCCTGCAGTGGAACAGGGCTATTTATTATGCCATGCGGAACTCTCCAGTTCTGTATTCTTAGCCTCTGCAAACGTGCCCTTCGATATTATCGTTCACGGAAAGCAGTTTCCAGATGGAGCCAGGGGTTATCAAGTCGTCCCTTGCAGCTGTCGACGATGAACACAGCCTGGTACTATCGGAAGTGGCCTCGACATTTTGTGACAGAGCAGATGCAGATATCAGCTTTTCTGGTCCCATCGAATGTCCAGGGCTAAGCTTTTCTCAAGATAATTCAGCCTCTGCGTGTGTTGCGCAGAATGGTCAAAATTTTCCCGTTTGTCCCGATCACCGAGACTCTAGCTTATCATTTCATCCATGGTATGATGTTTGCGCACTTGAAAGCACTATCAGATATCATGGGTGCTGTTCTAGGCTGCTCTCATTCGACCTGCCTCCACCGCCACCGTTATCTGCTGATTTTGTCAATGGGCTTAATCTCTTGGCGACAGTCAGTTCGACAGGATCTCGGAACTTTGACTCTTCCAACACATGGGAAGCTGGAAGGTACAATAGTCAAATTGTGATGGGCTCGGTGCAACATCAAGATATACAAGAGCCCTCCTATGCAATTCACAACGTGGCAGAGCCTCACCACGCAGGCTTGGAAAATGTTTGGTCCAGCATGCCCCAGCAGCAAAAATTCCAATGTAGTCACCCTGGGTGCAGAAGCTACTTTAGGCGTCGAAAGTCTTTTGCTCGCCATCTGACTAGTCATTTGGAAGTCAGACCCCACATCTGTTGGGTCCCTGATTGCCACCGCAAATTTTCTCGTCGCGATAATCTCAACGCTCATTACGTGACACACGGGAAACGTAATGGACGGAATCGCTATGTGGCCACTCTGGACCGAGCGAATCCGGTTTATGATCCTACCTTCTGTGGCCAATTGACACCTGACGGCTGTCCTATTGAGTCACCATCCAGCCATGTTCTCCGCGAATGCGAATTGAGTCTACAATGACTTGCTCGACCTTTTTGTCGACGAATTTCCCGAGTCGCCGTTGTCACGAACGCAAGCCTGATAGGTACAATCTGAGAAGAGCAGGCGCTCCGATAGTCTATAGGAATGATAATAAGATCATGAGGATCGGGATTGTTGGCTACTCCTTCGCATGATGTGCACCAGGGTGCTTCCCCGATTAGCATGTGATAATGGTCGATGGGTGAAGCAATGAGAAGTGATGACTGGCTCCATTATAGGGAAATCTTTTATCCATGTACGACATATGCAGTGGTCGAAGGATCATTTTCACTGAATTACTGGCTTTCATGCCGACAGCAGCCATAGTTAATCGTACTTCTTTGACTATATTCAACGTTGCATTTCACGCATGAGGATTTCATTCTAAGAGATGGTCCACGCAGATTCGAGAACTTACTGAGGGAGTAGCCTGAAGCCATAACGTGAAGAATACTGCACAAAACAGCTGGGAGTGATCGCGGACGTCCACGCCGAGAACCATCTTGTCTTTTTCATTGATGTGCTCCTTTTAGAAACTACAACGTGATTGAAAATCGAAAATCCCAAATTACAACTCTTCAATACTGTAGGGTGGGTGCCGGACGCCGTTCCCCAATAATCCGCAAGACTCTGTATTGAGACTTGCCGTGATCGGGTGATGGAGGGGCTCAGCCCATCGATGGCCAGGCGAATTGACACCTTGAGGGACCTAAAACCTACTAAGGACTTAGTTTCTGATAGTTCAGCGTATGCTGCCCAAAGCATTCAGGGCACCCCGTTAACCGAGAAGAAGTGGAGTTTGGGGTGATTACGGATAAGTTGGTGGATCCAAGAAGGCAGAACCATGGATCAAAGTTCCTAAACCCGTGGATGAACTTCGGAAGTAAGCCAGGTTTGGCTTGGATCGACAGGGCTCCGCCTGGTCATGGTACTGTATTGAGAGTGAAACTGATGTGACCGAACATAGTACCTATACAATGTAGCGTTCCCTCCCTGGTAGATTGGTACATAAAGATGAGACATAATGGCGATCATCTAATGAGGTGGGCCGAAGAGTCACTTCTGAGCCAGGAGACTACTCATGAACACTCCGGTTAGCAAGGCTTTATCGTTTGTATCGCTCCACGACTAGCACCTGGAGCCAGAAGATGGTATTAGACTGCAGAGCAACTTCTCAATATCGGCGGGATTGAAGGATAAAGCGCTACTACCCTTTACACTGTATGTGCAGTAGTCTTGCGAGAACCTGATTTTTCTTTATCTTTCTTCCTTTCTTGCGGCTATGTCGACTTTCTTTTTAACATCCTGTCAGTCGACCCTTTGTACACACACACACACACACTTCATTAACGCCCGGCGGCAGAGCCGAAAGGGCAACTATCGCTAATCTACTATACATGCCATGATATATACAGTACTGTGGCTCATTAGAGCCCATACATGATTGCTTTCAGAATATGTCATCTCAGGTGCTCGTATCGCAGCGGATTCTCGTGGGTTAGTAATTTGGTTAGTAGACTGGCTTGAAGGCGCTTCTCCAAGTGTTCAACATCCTATCTTCGGCAGTTGAAGCGCGTCTACCATGAGTAGCACGAGGTGGTTGGTGGGTTAGATTGAGTTAGATTGGAAGGAAAGGGAGTGTGATTGAGTTTCGTTGGCAGGGTCAAGTGGCCTCGAGGCGGCCCGTAGCGATGGCGAATCGGATTGAGGCCCGTACTGCTTCCAAGTCCGGTGTCCATTTTTCATTGTCGGAAGGCGATTTCCCTCCTAGATAAAAGGATAGGTTTCCTCGATGAGTGTTGGTACATTGTAGCATATCCGTCCGGTGTGCAGTCCACTTCCGACATCGAAAAAGGAAGTGCTCCACAGTTTCTTTGGCTTGTCCGCATGCACACTGATCCGTCTCTGCCGCGTTGATCCGATGCAGGTATCCATTCAGTCTTGCCATGCCAGTCCGGAGCTGGGCCAGCACGCTCGCTTCTTTCCATGACAGGCGATCATATAGCAGTCGAGTGTGCTTTCCTGGGAGTGCTGCATCTACTCGTTTGGCATGTCTTCCGACGTCTACTGGCAGGCCATTTCTGGGGACAGCTTGGGACCGTGCGATGTTCAATGTGGTCGATTTCATCCTCGGAACGCGCTCTTGCGGGAGAGCATCTTCTTGTGTCGCGGCTCTGGCCTGTTCTTTGGCCAGACCTAAGAGTTTGTTGTCTTCGCTAGTGGGGATCCAGAGGAATTTGATCCGGTTTCCATTTCTCTGCAGTCTTCTCATCAACTTGTACATCCGACAGATGAATTCCTGGCCAGTGGAATTCGAGAACAGTTTACCCCCAGAGACACACGTTCACTCTCCCGGGGACCCACTTTGCCGCCTAGTCTGGATCGCCTTGATTCTAGATTCCCCCACAACGAATGATATGGCACCATACCTCAAGGAAGAGGGCTTCATCTAGCCAGAATTAGTCTAGCGCAATTTTAGTGGAGCGCTGGGAAAGAAAGCATGTGTCTGGGGGGTAATCTGTTTTCGAAATTCTCTGTCTAGCCTCGCAATTTTGATGATACTGCGACATGTTGACCAAGGGCGTCGCAGGTGTGTGATCTAGTTTGTCAGTGTACATGTATCAGGTTGTGCTCTACCCAATAAGTGCTCATATATGGAGCATTTTTACCGACCGGGAGGACCGTCCCGTCAGGGGGAAAGTGGAGTGGTAACGGCTGGATCGAAAATCTACGAGATTATGGCAGGCCAGCACGAGAATGATCGCTATTGAAAATTTAATATCCGCTAAACCTCATCTGCGGACGGAACTCGGCACGCGGGCTCGATGCTGACTCCGGAAATGGCATGGAATGATAAAATGAGTCAAGACTCAGGTGTACTATCGATCATGATCCATGGAACCTGGTGGTGAAAGGTCTCACTATGATCAACTTTGCGTTATTAATGATCCTCGCAAGTGGGGCCTCACGGATGAAGGTGATCGAATTTTTGACCAGCTCATGCCAAGCTTGAGGCAGGGGTAAAGTGAGCAATACTCCAATATTGCGATGCCTCCATAGCTCCATCCTACAGGCCCTTCACGTCCCTTAGATCAAGTCGAGTGGGAAAGAACAGGCTTGAGACTAGTGCTAAACCAAGCAGCATACCCACTTAGCCAGTATCACTTTAAAAAATGATCTCACATTCTGACCGTTTGACGGCCGGTGGTCTCCGAGCACAACTGGATCTTTCGCCCACTGATGCACGTGTCTACCAAGTGAAGCAGCATGCCAGTCAGAGCATGATGGGATCTAGGAACTTTGTCGAAGTATGGCTGCTTAAAGTCAATCAAAGCAAATCGATTCACACGGAATGGTTCCCCGAAAGACATCTGAATCGGGTTTCTCAAATGGTACAGTAGCAAAGGCAAAGAGACAGCCAATCTTAATTCTGCCGACGCGTAGTTGCTTGCAACAGAGCTAGCGAATTCTCTCGGATCCACACCAACTGATCGGCTTTTCTAAGACAGAAAGGCACGTGCACCAGGATTGGGATTAAAAGGCACAAAAGGATCCCTCACAAATGATTCAGGTCCATTTCAATTCCTCGGACAGAGCAGCCTGCTGGAAATCCTGTTTGATAGCCCGCGTGATGTCCACGGCAAACCAGACCGTCCGACACGGCGACCGAAAAGCGCAAATGGAACCCCCGATCAAGAAGCGACGGATAATTGATACAATAATCTCGGTAAGTCCAAGATAAGCCCGTCTGATTGACCGGCGGATTTCAACTGAGGCGTTGACTAGGAATCCGACGGAACGATTGAGGATCATCAGCTATGCGACTACTTGATTGATTCCAATCGGGAGACAAACGAAAGACTTCGGTCAAAACTTAAAGATGCCCGAGTGAAGCTGTCAACTGTTGAAAGAGACTTTGATAGTTTGGAAGCCACACACGCTCAATGCCCGTACTGGATCCAGAAGAACGAACATCTCGTCGTGATGTTGGAGGATCATTGCGAAAGTCTTGAACAGGACAAGAAAAAACTCGAAGAACGCTGTGATTGGCTTGAAACGGAACTTCGAAACCATTCATTTTCCCCCAGAGAAAACAATTGCATTATACACAGGATCGGAGCTGGGCATGGGTTAGAGAAGACATGATCTGATCTTGGAAAGCGACACCGAGTCACCACGGTTATCTTGCAAAAAGGGAAAAAGAATGCAAATGAAATACGTGTACATAAATAAATAATACTACAACCAGGAAATATGTACAGTTGCCCTCTGTTTCACCCTTGGATTTGTCGATATTTCCAGATTCAGTGTGAAATTGCATCGTGAATCCCTCCGAAACGTAATCTGAAGAAAGCATATTCAAACGCTTTCCTCGTACACCACCCTCTGTCTTCAAGGGAAGAAATAATGGCGGAATCCATATGGATCGAACGAAAACATTGCCTCCTTACAGACCATGCTGATTGAATCGAGTGGGAGATGGAGAAAATGACTACTCAACAGTGTCATGCCGAAAGACTCTTTCCACGCGTGATATTTTAAACCGCAATGTAAGTTATTCGAAACAGGCGGTTTCACCACCCAGATAAAGCCCATTTCTCCTGTTCGTTGATGTGTGAGACATGGCCCGAAAGTCAGAGTCAGATGTTGATTCACTTTGCAAATGCCGATTCCTGCCTATTTGGGAAGAAGTCGAGTCTGCGAAAGAACCCATGGATACCACTGGCTCGGAGGACATTGTACTGTAGCAGTAGCATACTGTATGATGTATGATAGACCGCTTGGCTTGACAGGGTAGAAGAGGCATCGGTCAAACTTGCACAACTTCATGGAACCTTGAAGTAACCCAGTCCGACTCTTCGTGGTTGGATAGGTTTCTCTTCTGTCCACCAAGCTGGTCATGACAGGGCAGGAGAGGTTGTACCTTTAGCCACTGCCGTACACGGTAGACTTGATGGCGACAATGGTTACACAGCAGGAGATTGGCTAAAACTTTGCAGGACTTCTCTGGGATATTGCCACGGCAAATGTGAATCTCTGCACGCGCTTGCGAGTAACCAAAAACAGAAACATCGCGCTCACAGCCTTTTCCATTTTGTATCCCTAGGCAGAACGCCCGAAATGAGAAGGAAGCTTCTGAAGGTTCGTTACAAGGCGCATGAATGGTGTGTGTCTTCTGGTAGCGAGCTACAGACGAAGATTTGCATCGTTCTGTGGTCTGTTTGGTGCGTTGAATGCCACTTCGGAAGTGGGATGCTTCCATTGCTATTGACACCACAGAAATACCGTGAGGATAACGAAAATGATGAGGATGAGCGATCTATTTAATATCAATCACTCAAGCCTCCCGGGAAGCCAAAAATTGCAATTTCACTGCCATACCGGAGTTAACTGAGCCATGCGGGAAGATACCTGCGCTTGAACTACAGGCTATGTTGACTTTGGCCAGCTCCTGGGAGTAAGTATTCCAGATTAATGAGGCTGAACCCTCCGGGGAGCTTTTTCCAAGTATCTGAGGAGCCAGATACGTTGGAAGCCTGTTTATAGCTCCTGGGAGGTCAGGAAACACGTAGGCCATGCGTCTAAGGGACTGACCGATTGGACCTCCTGGGTTGTCATTCGGCTGGTGGCCGCATAAAAATTTGAATAGCCTAACAGTAACGGAATAATGAAGATGATGACATGCATGAAGATTAGGTAAAGAGCACTTAGCTCAAAAGTGGCCGTTGTTGGTCCAAACTTATGGCCACGTATAGCATGTAGAAGGTGAGAGCCTGATGTGACGTTCATTCGTGTTGTGGTTTGAGGCTGGTGCAGATAAGGAACAGAGCGACACCGTTGGAATTGGTTCCTAGGATGTCTTAATCAAGTATAAATATGATGTCGAATGAAGTCGAGGTCCGAGTCCTTGGTGTATAATTAGACTTGCTTTCTTCAGCTGAATAAAACATTTATTTTTTTGTTGACTCACAGCAATTGTACGCATACTTCATATGATGGAAATGGAAGCGAATTGACCAAATCACGAAGGAACCACCGTGTGGCCCTCCAAAACTGCCCCATTCTCTCGGAGTCTTGGAAAGTGAAGCTGTTCGATCCCAGTGGATTGACTGTCTTAAAATCTCTGCGTTCGCTGGAATGTATCAAAATAGGGTGGAGGAGGTGCTATTATTGCCCTTGCTAGAGGAGCACAGTTCTGGCGATGTATCCAGGACTTACCGAATTTATTGGCATGGATTTGTAGCTGCACGCGATGAAAATAAGCTAAGAGTACGCGCGGTCATCGGGCCATGGCAAGGCGCAGCGTGGCCGCAATTTGTTTTCTAGAATGAGATATTTACACTTCCGACTAGCGAATCTTGTAAAGTACATTTAATTGTGTCTTAACGGACTGTATCCTCCAAAAAGCTTGGGAACCGAGATGTTCCCGACATCAGAATGAACAAGCAAAATTCTGACACATAGTTGTATTTTCGTCAGCTTTAGAGACCTACTTTTCGATGCCATGGTTTAGGGACAAAGGAAATCAATCAACTGACTAGCTCGAAGGATTTGCTCAACTTGATCTTGGTGTATTTCGTATCTCGTGCCACTCTTCTAATTCTTTTGGAGCCTATGATCCCTAATGTAGAGCATCGCATATATCTCCCAACTTTCCAGGTACCGTCAATATGAGTTAAGAGTAGTACCGATTGCTATCATAAACATGAAAAGAAATGTCCACCGTTTGTTGGCAGTTGGCGATACCACACTTGTAGAATTATTAGCTGGCCCATTTGGCGTCAGGCGAGTAGGCACTGGAGGACTAGGAGCCGTCATGGCATCCAGTGTGTTGAAAGTGGGAAGCGGAAAATGCGGTAAAAGAAAGGTTAGAGGAACAGCAGTATTATACTGTTCCACTTCCCTTGGGGCGTGGGCGTTGTCAGTTGCGAATCGTTTCCCCCCACTCATCATTGCAGAATGATAAAGGGCTGCAGGTCGTCGTTGCAGCATTGCCCTGGTACAGATTTTGAGTCAGTAATTGAGCGTTTTGAGAGGTGCAGTATTTGAAGATTATAGTGTACTGGGAAGGCGCGAGCTGCATAGAAGTCGCGTACGACACAGGTGTGTCCGACATTTTTTGGAATATTTTCTCACTTAGAAAAGAGAGACGACGGAGATAGGCGGTAATTCGGAAAACAAAGGATAGGGTTTGGACTTTCAGGCAGTATCGAGAGATTGTAAATGAATGATGAGTAGTCCAGTTGTTACAGTAGCTAAGTGGTAGTAAATAAAATGTAAAACCACCGCGCCTAGGACCTGGAGTTGCGAATTGTGAGGGGGGCTCTACTATTTGACAGATTTTATACATAGAACTAATAGTAAAATTCTGCTCCTTGGGCAGAAAATCAACTTCATCGATGCTGACATGACTAGACCCAAGGCTCTAAAAATATGCCAAATTCAACAGGCTTCATTCTGTAAAAAGATGTCGAGTTCTCACCTCCCTCCACGGTGTGCATTTAAGTTTCTTATCCTAGGTTGTTTGAATTATCAATAAAATGACCAAATAAACCGACGTTTAAGGATTTGAAGTGACATATTTGCGGGTGGGCGTTCAAAGTGCTAGATTCATTGATTGGCATCTATTTCGAGAAGTAGAGCGATAGAATCCATCAATCATCAATGTGACTCTTGCGGGTCGCATGTTGAAACCCTCTTCAATTTTCCACGATTTTGGTGTTCAGAGTAGTTTGCTAAGGACCATTGTTAAGGACTATGGCTGTTCTTTGCTCTGTCTAGCTCAAAAGCCACACGTGTGTATTCCTTGTAAAGGCCTGAAGTGTAACCATGAATCTCTTCCAGCTCTTTAATCATTTTAGCGACTTGGAATTCGAGCTTCGAGAACTCTTCTTGTACCTCCAGAAGTGTACGAAAGAATTTTTCACTGTTCGGGTCTGGACCTAATTTTTGGAACCAAAAGCATATGTTGAAATAAGTGAGAATCACTGACCTTGCTTGAAACGCGTTCTTGAAGATGACAGACGAATGAATGCATCTTGATCTGTTCGTGTTGACATCTTGATTGATACTGGACAATATTTGTTCGTGGAACTAAGTGATATACTCAACCCCGAGGGGTAAATATCATACGGAATTGGCTGGGTTTAAGTATGAGAGTAGGTCGGTATGTCAGGTGAGGTGCTTTACATCTTACATTTTCGAATCTGCTGCTCCTGGGATGTACTGTATGAAGCATTTTCACTCCCACATCAGTGACGAATAAGGCTTGGCTGGAGAATAGATAGTGGTGCAGACAATTTTTGAAACTACTGATAAGAAAGGCCACTGCAATGATGGCAAACGATGATTATGGTTTATTGTTGTGATACCAACAGGGGAATCTACACTGGAACAGGATAAGAGAACCGTAATAAAGGAGAAACGGAATATGAGTCTATTTTACCACCCGTTCATGAAAGGAGGGGCCGAAAGCAAGAGCAAGACACCCACTTTGACATGCCGGTGAATATCCAGTGAAACCAGATGATATTGCCATCGCCGCATCCGTACCGGCACACGAAGGTCTTTTGAGACACTGTGTAAGACATAATCCAATGGAAGAGTCGGAATCGGCGGTGAGGATCCGCATAATCCGTGCCTGAATTTTCGTAAGATTTACTACAGTATAAGCGTACTTTAATCACATATAATCAACTTTCTGAGTAAGAGCTAAAAGCAGATTCCAAATGCCTCCACAGAAGACATAGATGACTACGTAACGTCCCGGGCGGCATTTGGTAGCAGCTACACATTCCACGCCATCGATGTGAACAATTCCTTATTATGGTAGACATTTTTTTGGAATCGATATTCTTCAGCCGCATCAAGGTGACCATTGCGGTATTTAGATGCCTGAGCTGATTAGGTTCACAGATTACCTAAAAGCGCGGTAGAAAGAGTACCCTCTCTGTATCTTTTATCATGGGTACCCCACTGTACAAAAGCATCAATTAGAACAAGAGCTGGTCTAAATCTGTGGCCTGCATGTCGGTTGAAAATTGTCTCATGAAAGTAAAATGAAAGTAAAATGAAAGTAAAATGAAAGTAAAATGAAAATAAAATGAAAATAAAATGAGTTTGATGTTATTGATAGTCCCCCTTCAATTCAGTCGCAGGAAGAATTATCAACATTTAACGACCAATTGCACGTTGAATCAATGGTCATAAGATTGACCCCACTGGGCGTACTAGACATATCAATCGGGTGTTTATTGAGGAATTCAAGGATTTGTGACAAAAATGGCTACTAGCGCCAGTTTAGAACCGTGAATTGAACAGGATAGACCGGGGGTGGAGTGGAATCTCAACATAACCATACTTGGTGGATCGTCAGATCCGCAGGGTAGGGGCATCAAACAGCAAATTTTCTCGCGCATGGAGCATAGGATGCGTTTTGATGATCGCTTATAAAACCATATCCGCAAGACGACCATGGCAGAGTCAAGCACAAGAATCGGTTTTAGCAACATCATGGATTTTGATCAGCCTCAGCAAGACCGACCTGAGACTTGTTTCTTCCCCGAGACCCCCAACTGGGCAAATATATCGCAGGCTCCCGGGAGCAGAGTGTCCAAAAGGCACGCGAAAGATCCTGGGTCGACGCTAGTCGCAGTAAAAACTTCGAAACGACAACGAGCGAATACATCATTGCGTCCAGAGGCTCCGAGTACTGGAATTCAAATGTGGGACAGTGATCCGTGGGATGCTTTCGAAAAAGGGATTGAGATCTTTCCTGGACGCCACGTATATCTCGCTAGAGACCATGGGAACAAAGCACGGCTGGTTCACATTCAGCATTTGGCCGAAGGGGTCGCGGGATGTCTGCTGGAAAACATCAATCGCCATTCGCACCGAAGCTTTTTGCGTCTTCTCCACTGTTACCAGTATGGGAGCTCGTCTTTCTTGGTATGGGAACCAGTCGAGCTGTCTCTGTCGCAGGTCCTAGGATCTAAGTGCTCCATCCGTGAGGCTGAAATGGTCTCCATAATCTGGCCAGTATATATCCCTTGGCTCTTGGCCTGTGACCTATATTCTCTAATTGCATTTTCGATAGATCCTCACTGGCATACGGTACTTACGCGATTGCCAATACGCACTTGCCTCACTGGCCAGCGATACGATTTTGTTCACGGAGGGCGGCGACGTGAGAATCGGTACGTGGAAACCCCATCTCCAAACGTCAACGCCAGCAATAAAGGCTTATGAAAACGGGCACTAGCGGGAGTAGAACACAGTTGTGAAATCTGCGCAGCAGATATGAACAAGGTTACAATGAAACTACTTGCCCTGTCGGATATTGTCAAAGAACTCCGGAAGAAGATGAATCCTCTGCACCCGTGGAGCACACAGGCTCAGGAACTGCCTGAAAAATTAATGGATGTGCCATTGGATGACCTGTTGCGAGTGAGTGATTCTCGCAGTGGAAAGAAGCAGACCAGCTGACATGTGATCAGGACGACATATTCAGGCAGATGAAAGGAGGAGATCTGAAGATGCTGGTTAGTATTGCAAGTAAAACCGGGTACTACAACATCCGGTTCCCTCAATCGTGAAACGACCGCTTGGCTTTTTACTGCCACGCTAGCAGCTTAGCTGAATCCAGGGTGTCATCCAATAATTTGACTTTTGCTTTGTGAAAAACATGCCTTTTCATTCTATCCGATCACACATTCCGATCAACATTCCAAGCAGAAGGGTCTTTGGAGCCGATTTCTTACCTAGGGTGGATGTGCTTGGCGAGTCAATCAAAATATCGATCGAATTGCCCTCGTTATGCTATGTAAAACCCAACTATAGCTCGACGCATGGCGTAAATTCTTTGTGGGACTGAAAGCGCTGCACCTTATTGTGATCATGAGAGCTGTGCGAGTCTGCAGTCTAGATTCCCACCAGACGGTTTCTAGCCAGTTTATATGATCGAAAGCCGATGACTTATTGAGGACTGTATCTCAGTGAATATCTAAATGTTTTCCTATGACGGAGCATTAGTGTTGCCATGCCAGTCCAACGATAGTATGCACATGGGACGAAGTTGACACAATGGCTCTATCTAGAAACCATCCCTCTGTCAAGAACGTTTCCGCATGGGGCTCTGCTCAGTCCATACCATATGAGTGCAATGGCAATGTACGTACTAGCCTATATCAGACGTTTGCTAGTGTATATGTCGCTGATAGCATTTTGCAGTCATAGCGAAAGTCCGGAAATAGATGCGATGTCTCGCTACATGCGCCATTTAAATAGGTCAGTTTACCGCAAGCGTCCTCGCTCCAAGACTCCCCGAACAGATTAAAACCTCCAGCAGCCTTGCCTGAGCCTCGATGGTGCAACTGCATTACTGACGACGTTCAATCGCCGAGGTTGTCATATTATTTGGCTTCTCCCAGGCAGTACTGGGATCAATGTTCTGCAGGGGGGGGAGCATGTGCGAAATTGCACTGAAAAGACACCTGATCTGATAAGCTCTAGGTCTCGCATACAGTCTCCTGCACGATAGCTTTGAAGATCGGCTTCTTGCCTTCCATTGTCGAATACGATCATTTTCTCGTCTGGCCTTATCATAGCCTGTTGGGCTTGTTGATCTTGGTGGCGTCTGTGGGAGATGAACGTCTGCTGAGGATCGTCGCCGATTTCGACACGGCTCAGCACTCTGACTGTTCTGACCGTCATGCAAAGTCCCGACTGTAGCATCCTTGAGTTCAATGACAGAGGCAGGGCCACCACGAGCCTCACTTGACCACCTTCACTTCCAAGGTCTGCCTCCTTCGTCTTGTTCCTCGTTTTGATCTTCATCACACTCTGATAGGGCTAATCGACATAGGAAAAAGTATTTCGATGATCCAGCCCATGGCTGTAACTCGAGGTTGTCATATCGTTCCTTCATCTCGACTAGAAATGAATTCCACAACACATGAACAACCCTTGTTCCCACCTTTGGCACAATCGCAAATTTGTTGTCGTCCCACATCTTACGTAAATCCCGACTTAGCAGGATAGTGTTTTCAACGCATCGAATGTCGACATCTTGCTCGGGATGGACTTGGAGCAGAGAAGCATGCTGTTCCGCTGCCACCATTCGCTCTGCGCGGCGGGTATAATGTGCGCGGTCTCGTTCGGGAGGGCCCAGGAGGTGGTTCGGCAGGTAACATCGCGGCGAATGACGTCGTCGGCGGAGCTCAGTTGGCCAGAAGCGGACGATTATGGAGGGAGTAGCGAGGCTGAGCAGCGAAAATGGTCGAATTCATGACGACTGCATATTTTTCCACGTCTTCAACACGAAAGTAGTATTGACGATGAGGAAGTACATCATCCATATCAGTAGACCACAGGGCGCCATCGCGGCTCCACGACAAGAAGCCTTCCCATCGTCCGTTGGCCACGATGGCGCACTCGTTATGAGAAATCCCATGATGAATACCCCCCGATCGCGGAGAATGATAATAAAATATTGTGATTCTCTGCGTACTCAGGGTGGAGAAAGAAGACAAGCGGTGAGAATGAGGTGAGCCGGTACATACTTGGATGGTCCAGTAGATAGTCTGTTACTATGTTTTCAAAATAACGGCTCGTCGTTTAGTTGCACGTTCCATTGCAACAATCGCGACTGGAAATGACGTACAATACTTTGCTGCCCCTGAGGTGAGTGCGATAACCACGAGGATCACGTGATATGAACACGCTCACGGACTCGGGGGCAAGTTGCATGATGCCGCTTAAGCATCAACCCGAGCCAACAACGATTCACAAAATAATTTGTTTGCTGTTTCCTCAAAAAGCACTGCTCGGAATTTGATTAGTAACCGGTCCGCCGTCGAAACCTCCGTTACGAAAATCCGTTTACGAAAGGTAACGATATCATATGGCGTGCAGTATGTTCCGACTCAATGATAACTTAGCAAAAATAAACTCTGGACTGGCTGTCTTTCAGATGTGAAGCGCAGTACACTATTCTTACCTAGCACATGATAGCGTGATCCAAGGCTCATCAGGTGGTTATCATAGATGGACAAGAGCTCTGCAAGTTCATTTGTTGTACCTTCTGGAGCCTGGTACGTGCAATTTAGATAGTAAAAGTATGTTACCCACTCGGGCTTAGAGAGATTGTGAGTGTCTTCTCAGCGATGGAGCAGATACATGTGAAGCTTGCCGACTCCTTATTTTTTATATTTCCACGAGGGTCATGAATATGTACATTATACATCTTGCAAATAGACTTTGTACAGTAACCTCCATGAACTAGTAGAAGATGTTACAATGGGTAAATTCGGGCTGTGTGTTGTCTATCGGTTCCATCTAGTCTTAATGAGGTGGTGGTCGACTACGAGAATTCAATCTTCAAAATTTGTAATACTCGGTACACGTATGCACACCTATATGTGAAGTGAATACAGTATATCTCAGGAAATAGTCACACTTCAGTGGTCGTCGACTCTGATTAATAGTAAATTTCATCCTAATTCATCCTCCAATAATGATTGATAGAACAGTTTTGGGCGCGAAGCCTAGACAGAATCTCAGAAATTGCCCGTGATATTTGTAACAAATAATCTTGGATCAAGGGGGGACATTAAACGATCAGCGGTGGATGTTGCTGGCGCTGATCCCACGGAGAAGTTCATTCGTTGGCCGCGCCGGGGCCAAATGGCCAATTCAACCAGAAACTCATTTGAGATGCCGTACGCGCAGCAGTGCTGTAGGACCTGATAGGCGTGTTGTCGAAGATGATCTAATAAAGCGACGTGTGGCTCTGATGGCGAGAGATAAAAAGGAAGATCAAAGACACATTCTTTTGAAAGGTGGTTCATCACGATCAATCTCAAGTCCAGCCAGTCCACAGGCTCTCCAGGAACTGTAAAGGAGAGGAATACAAATATGTCGTTGACAGAGGTCATAGGGCAAAAGAAATCCGGCCCATCCCACTGAAGGCAATATCGGTCGCAACTTTCGGGGAAAAGAAGACAGGTGACGGGGACAGGCAAGCTAAATGGCAGTGGGACCTGAAATATCATCGAAGCGTCTTTTTCATTGAAGGAGGGAATTTCCGGGGAGTCAAATATCAAGTCGTCCCAAGTGAACAGGAGTGGGGACTCCCCATCGCTGTTGCGCGTGTGGTCCTCTAAGTGTATCGGCTATTAGCAACATAATGATTTGTGATCTTGTGTAGACTCACCGGATGAAAGCATTTGTTAAGGGTTGGCGACCAATTTTGAGACTTTGCAGATATAGGCAAAGCAGGTTACCTCTATTTTATTACTCTTCTACGCGTCTTTATCTTCATCTGCACTACTTGTGTCACAAGTGTTCATATGAGAAATCGATCTGTCCTTGTTGATTTGTAACGCTATGTAGAACACGAGCGGGCACTACTGTTGCTTCAACTTTGGAAAGGCTTCTTCGCTGCTGTGAATAAAATGCCCGTGGAATGAACAGTAAAATAAACTGACTGGCATTTACATAGTATGAATGAGAAAGTGACACGTTCGTTCAATAAACACTCATCGCATTTAAACAGTGAGTGTAATCTCCCTGGCACGGTTCAAAACTACACAGAAGAAGCCAAAGCTGTTCAGACTGACCAAAATACAAGATACACACTAATTGAACCGCCAAAGGAGAAGACGAAAGAAAGAATATTTGAATTTTGTTTCTATATTGGGGCGAAGTCTTGAACGACCCGCCGTGCGCTCCGTATTGGATTTATTGGCATGTATGGTGATCTGTGTTCAAAATCATTAGAAGATCCCACTAAGACCGCGCAGGTTGCGTTCAAAGGAACCTCAAAAGAACCAGGCGTCTCAAAATCCAAGTCCCGGTGTATGGTACAATATTATCTTCCCACCACTAGAGTTTGCCTTCTCATACAAGTAGGATTTTCTCTGAAACTGTGGTACCGTTATCGACATATATGATTGAATGCAAATAAAGACACCAAGAAACCACTCCCATAATGCTTGACAAGCTTCCATTGGACATCCTGCTTCTAATCGCGAATTTGGTAAGTGTTCATTCATTTGGAAGAATCTAAGCTGACATTGATGACTGCCATCAGCTGTCAGCTAATGCCGTTCGGATCATGAGTCATGTCTCTTCAGGACTTCGTTGGCTTTTAACCCCCCTGGTCTATCGGGATATTGAATTCTGTGCTGTCAATGAATGGGCTTTGAATGTTCTCGACGTCGATGACTTTTTTCTCCACCACTGCGCGAACGTCGACTATCTTCAAAGCACGAGGCGAGTGTCAATACATGCTCCTGTCCATATTGCTCGCTTCAACCGCTGCGTAGCCTTCAATCTTTTTCGAACGTCAGAGCCTTCGAAGAGCTGTGTGAGCCTTGGAACAACCGACGAGGAGAAAGCACACGAACTCTTCCTCAAAGACATAATGAGTCAAATGCGGAGGGTCTTCAAGGGTCTAAGATCCAATTCACTGCGCTCGTTCACGTTTGTTAAAGTCGACACCATATGGTCTATCTCAACCTGCTAATCGACACTAGGTGGCGTTTGGGAACATGCGTTCCCAATGGAATCTTGAATCAGGATGGTTGTATTATCCAACATCAGAAAGGTCTAGCCCATCTTTCATTGGTTACAGATAGCTCATGTCCCCATGCAGCTGGCCATCTCGATGCTTTGCCGGACCTGTGCTCTTTGAGATCACTGGAATGGGAAGGGGTCCAGCACCCACGGGAGATCGATCTCTTGCACCGGTGCATTCACCGCAATAAGAAGCATCTTAAGGCTCTTTCAATCGGATTCAGCATAGGAGGATATCGTCCAGATTTCTATACGGACGTGCTCGGGCTGTGGGGAACCCTATCCCGACCTAATTCGGATCATTCGACAATGTCCCTTCCTTCACTCGTTTCATTGACACTCTCAAAAACGGGTATGCCTAAACAGCTTCAAATCAGTGGCGCGCCTGTCTTCTCCAGCCTGAAAGTCTTGAAATTACGCGCATGCCCTAATGCTCTAGAATTCTTGAAAGCCCTATCGGATTCCACGCCTCCTCTTCAACTCAAACGGTTCGAGTTCTGTGGTGATAGCTTGGCTTCCACTTTAGACGAAATAGACGATATCAGTATACTGATCTCATTTTTGCTATCATTTCGAGGCTTGAAGCATTTGCATCTGAAGATCTCGAATTTTGCACGCTCTTGTCGTTTCCGAACTGCGATCCAGCATCACATCACCACCCTGGAGACTCTGGCATATCACGAGCAACAACTTGCCCCAATTGACGACGACAGACTATGGTGGGACACTCGAGATTATGCTCCATTATGGATTTTTGAGCAGGCGAGAGATCTCCGCCTTCATAGGCTTTCTGCCCTGGCGCTTTGCGCGAGCCCAGCTTTTCTAGTGAGTCGCTCCAACATTTTTAAGGGGAAGGATCCAATATAAGAAAAAGGAGATGACTAACACTCGTTCTAGAGACCCGTACTTGAGCCAGCAGGTTCGGAGTGTACGCTTCAGATATTACATCTCCGGTTCGTGGGCTTGGACCATTTGCACCGCAATATTCAGTCCGAGGTGATTGCACAGATGAAAACAGGCCGTGCATACTGTTCATGTGGTTGTTGGGCCAATAATCTTCGACGAGGCTCAAACCCTCGTAGTAGGTGTAGTTTTACAAGCACGTGGGAAGAATCAATGACTTCTGATCTAATGAAAACTTCGGTTTCTTCGGAAATACCGGTCGGCTCTGACCTGTGTTTTGATGAGGCGAGAGAGATTGTAGAATTCGCGGACTGGGCATTTGGGCCGCGTGGTCTTCCGAGTCTGATGGTATTGGCATTTGGAGACTTTTCTTACGAAGAAAGATACCAGAGGCAACGATTTCTAGCACGCCGACGAATGAACGGTGTATCCAAGGAACCCGGCTGTGCAGAAAGCGAGGAATCTGATTGGACTCTGTGCATCACCAACAAGGTGTCCGCTCTCGATGAAGATCCTTTCCACGGATCTGACACGTTCTTGTCGGTATGTCCCGATGGGTCATTGATGGAAAATCCCGAGGAGTGGTAGAAGGTGCGGAGTCGGGCATGGGAAGACGAAGATGAGAGATGAGGCAACGAGTCTCCAGGTTGGCGTTGTAATTCGCCGAACGCCAACAACGACATACTTTCAACAAGAGATTTCATTGCGGCGATACAGGAGAGATCAGCGTAACCCTCCATTGAGCTTCTGTGTGCTATACATTGTGGGGTTACCAAAGAGCATTTCCAATTGCTGAGCCCGACATTTGCCACGATTGGCGGGGTTGGGAGAGGAGGGCGCAAGAATAAAGGCGACAGGTGTTCTTCTTTGGCCTTTCCGCTTCCGATCGGAAGATTCGATTACTGTACTTTGAGCAGAACATAGAGAATGATATTGTCGATTATATGAATGTAAAGTTACAGTACCATGGACCCACAAAGACCTAACCTGAACCCTGCAGGGCCCTTCTCAGAAAGCGTGGTTCTGCTAAACCATGACGTTCTCCAGGTCCTTGAAAATTGTTGCATTTCTTTCAGCTCTTCTTGATCACTTATGTGGGTTGAGATGTAACTAGAAGAGGATGATCAGATATTTCTTACCTCGTAGGGGCATTTGAATGACTTCACACAAGTGTCCAGACTAGAACATCGTCGGAACTTAATTTACGTTTCCCACACCGAACATGCCGTAGAACTCTGTATTTACTTTCAGAAGCACCCGAAGAAAACCATTTAATGTGTATACCCCAACCTCATCGTACTGGGTGGATGCGTATAGTGGGTTGTGATCATTATGCAGAGTGATGGCCCCACCTGAAGTACGCTGCCGTTCAAGTCCTGCTCATCTGTCTCTTTACCAAAGACTGGCGTTCTCGGGACGAATCTAATCTTCTGTATTGTCTTGCGCCATAAAGCTAGCCAAGCCCTGAGACTCATAACATGTCGGGGCTGACAAGTTCAGCGTACGTTGCAGCCTGCTGTCGAAGCTGGAAGTTCTTGCTTGCTCTGTCTTCGAAAAGCAGCCCATAGTGAGATTTAGATCGCGACGAGTACACTCGATTGGAAAAGGAGCACGAGGAGAAATCCGCTCGACTCAAGGGTGCGGCACATGAGGGCCCACCCGTCGATCAAGGACCCAGGACATCTTGACTATTTTCGCAGGTGGGCATTGTCGAAGATGCGACCCGGTTCAATCAAGGGGCCTTCCATGGAAGCTTACTGCAAGCCGCAGTTTATTCCACGGTACGCCTGCGATGGGGCTTTGGGAGGCGTCACGTTGCAGTGTGGGCAGGAAAATGGAGAAGATGATATGGTAAGTACATAATAGCCTGTGTGGTATTTGTTGTCGTGCCTGTGTGCACCCTTCCAGGTGCGAGAGCGCTCAGTCATATTTCAGCAAGGACCCGTTCTTACCAGAACCCGTCGGTCGCACTGACTACGGAGCGCGAAAGCTACTTTCATCGCCGTCTGTCTCGCCGGGTTACTGAGAATGGCATAGTTCTGGAACCAAAAATGGACGAATTCCAAAGGTTTCATTTTAGCCTACCATGGATGGCCGCGGTCTTGTTGTTGACGCGGCGCCAATATACACCCCCGGGGGTACAGCAATTAAGAGTATGACTGAGAGAAGGTGCAGGTGTGAAAAATTGCTACCAATGCGCTGATTTGTCTCTTGACCCACAATTATCTTACGGTTGCAACCAGCGTTTGGTGCCTATCGACCGGTCCAGGCGCCTATGGCCCACTTTTTTGACTAAAAATCGCATAACGTCGGAAACTTGGGTACAGTACCTAGAGTAAAAGGCATATCCACTTCATTCACATGTTTGGCACCCATCGCATGCCGTACTCTTCATTTAAATTGAGCTGACGCCTCGCACGAATTGAATCTCCAGGCAACAGTCTTGAGCAATTCTGTGCTGTACCTGTTGAGATGTCCTTTGGTTTCCTTTCGATACTTCTCATTGCTACGTGCACAATTGGACTAAGTATGGCCTGGTGAGATGTTCTTCGGTTCCCTCCCAGTGCATGTACTTGTCTCTGCTACACATTGTAGTCATAGATGGTCTGGTGAGATGTCCGCTGGTTTCCTCCCAGCACCTGGTTCAGAAATTCAGACGTTGATTCTTGCTGAGACGTCCTCTGGTTTCCTCGCAATACGTCTTCTTACAACACATTGTGATTATTGATGGTCCGGTGAGATGTCCTTTGGTTCCCTCACCGTACCTCATCATCCGCTGCTATCTAGTCTTAAAACCATTCATCTCGCAGAGATTCACTTCCCTCAGCGGTCTGCAACTAGCAGTACGCTCGCCTTTTTCCGCAGTTGGTTTTAATGTGTGATACCGTTCGATCTGAATTGCCTTCCGTGAAATCATGCAACATTTCAAACACTCATGACCGGAAAATTCTTGGATTGCCATCTAAAGTACGCTAATCCAAACTTGTCCTAGCGTTCAACGTTGTACGCATATCATATATACAGTACAATAATTATCTTTTACAGCCGTACGTTTTGCAAGGCTGCCCCAAATGATAATAGCTTCTGATCTAATTGGCATCGCATTTTCCCGATGTTCTGGGATTGAATCGAAATTGCACTACCGTGTCTTGATTGCGGACGATGTGGGCAGTATGGGCAAACATGGTATGAGTTGTTTCATTGAGACAGTCTCTCATTTTTGAACAGCTCGGTGCCTGTTGCACCGTGTCTGTCAAAATGAACGTTGAAAACTTGTCCTTTCAACAAATCCATCACGTTCGATCAGAATCATCGAAAAAAAATCCACTCTTCCAAATTATTCATTCTCAAAATCGTGTGATACCGTCTCGCTACTGAATACTTGGTCCTAGTTACACAGAAATCACACCCAACAATAATTACGATTAAGTGGTTCCTTCAAGCCTACGGGCATCAGAAAGAACATTTCAAAGTTCATGTCCATGGTTGCAAAGAAATGAGATCGATTACCCAGAAGTTTTTGACGCATCAAGGTCTTCCATTTGGTGTGGAATGCATAATTTCTCATTGCTCAGGAATTTGTTCTACAGATAGCAGTAAAACTTGCCTCATCTCACAGTACAGTCTTGCGGTCCGCTATGTCCCATTTGTAGTATTCATAATGACCCTCTGCCGGTATCCTGATTTCATCGAATTTTAATTCCTATGATATATTACAAGATATCCTTGCACGTATTCGATTCTCAGCCCCGAGCGTTAAATGATAGTGGTCACAATCTCGGACATGTTGTCTAAAGGCTCACTCAAAATGAGGACCCTTTCAAAGACCTGTTACATGGTATCGATTATTCTTTTGGGAGGCGGAAGCTTTTAAACAGCACTAACTGTGGCTTTCTAGGCCCCTTGGATTGGCATTCGGGTAATATCTCCGTTTACACTGTCTAACCATTCTACGTATACTGATTTTTTATCTATCTTTAATTAGACAATCCGCCTTACTTCTTCCTTGATTCACCTCCTCTAGACCATAATCGGGCGTAGCCTCGATGCAGATTTACGGGCTTCAATGGTTAAAGCGGAGTACATCTATAACTTGGTTTACCGCCGCTACTAAAGTAGCCAAATTGATATCTAATTGCTCTATTCCTCCGACTTTTGACTATTTTGGAACATTATCACTGGTCAATCTACCAGACTGGCGTTTCTTTCTTTGATATTTCCCTATTTTCACTACCTTGATCCCACGATTACTCTGAGCTTCGAGCCCAAAGCAGTCACAATAGATAGCCAAGAAAGCAGAGATCCATATAGGGTTCCGATCGTATTACGCAAATTTCAGATGCCAACGAAAGACTAGAAAAATTTCGTTGGGTTCATCTGCTCCAGTATCTCCACATCACGATACCCACATCACGATACAGATGAAACGCGTGTCCTATCACCCCTTTCTGGATGCAGTCTTTTGTGCTTGTGCGACCAGCAGAAGAAATATATAGTTACAAGATTGAAGATTTTCTTTTCCACTGCGATAAGACTCGTCTTTCTGTTTCTTCCTGTTACTTTCGTTGTGCATTAGGAATCAGCCACATGCGGACCGTCCTATAGTACCATCTACTTTTAATTCTGACTGCCTCTTGCGCTAAGCTCCAACTGATTGGGTTTCTCCTCGATTCCCTGGAAAGTGTGTTTGGCCATTTGTTTGAAACTCAAATTGAAGTAGCAGCCAGACTCTCATCTCCTCCACAGATAATATGTACATATATCTTCCAGACCCTGAATAGTGAATCAAAGTACCGAATTGTAGGTGAAGCTTCATCGGGTTTGTCGCTCCAAGCGCTGATTCTGTAAGGAAACACTATGAAGCTGAGCATTATCACAATTACCTGGCTTCTCGTCCGTCTCGCAAAAGCCGATACACAGCCAGGTACATTGATCGTGCACAACAACTGCTATTTCGCTGTCCACGTTCAGGGAGTAGCTGATATGCCGTACTTGCAACAGGACTTAAAGGCTGGCGAGACTTTGCATCTCCCATTCCGAGAGTCAGTCAGTGGCACAGGCAATTCATTGAAGATTGCAACCGAATTTGATCGTGACAACATAGCTCAGGTCGAATATAGTGCATGCTTTCTTGGCAGCCTCTGTTTCCCTAAAGACAGTGTCTTCTACGATCTCTCCAATATCGACGGAAACCCGTTCCTTCCATATGGGATAACAATTTCTCCTTCACGCAACGAGTGTACCACTGTGAGATGTCCGGCTTTCAATCAGCATTGCGACCTTGTGTATTATCAACCACATGACAATCAAGCCACTCAGGGGTGCGACGTTGAAACCAATCTCCATGTCGAGCTCTGTTCAGGATGAACGCCAAAAGGAGAGCCTCGCAACATATTACGCTTCTTGAACTCAACTTGGCACGTCGTTTCCTTTTGAGATTGTCCGTTTTTCTTGGCAAGTGTTTATATTGGAATTCTGTGTAAGACGAGAAGTTATATACGTGTACCTCAAGATAAACATGCTGTATGTAATTTCGACAGCCTTTCTGCATGTACTGTACAAGGAAGGCATGGGGCAAGTTTCTAATT